AAACACTGCTGGAAATAATAGATAAAATTAGAATTCGACAATCAACAACTGCAAGTTCAAATGCATATGATTTGTCACTACTCAAAGTGCCCGTCATGAATTTGGAGGAGTTGAACAAACTTGAGGAGGATGCAGAACAAAAAAAATTATTAGTTCAGTCATTATTTATTTGAAAATATCTGTTAACTAATAAGTGTCTACTTTTTTGTATAGGGATATATGTTGCGTAGAAATGGAAAATCATTTGATGCTAAACGTACTACATACCTTATGATGAAGTTAACAATAGACAATAGGATAGCAGAAAAAATCAATATGGAGGGAAGAAGAGGAGATAAATTGGCTTTTGGTCGTCTAGAAATTTGTAAAATTTTAATTGGTAAGTACCTAAATAAAAAAAATCAAATTTTATTTGACATTCAATATGAAATATACCATTTATTACTATTATATTTTTAGTAAAATAAAAACCCTTTTATAACAGTACTTATTATTACTTTTTTTTTGCCTACAGAATATTGTGACAATACAGTTCACTATGTATACACCGTGGTGTTTCGCGACTTGAAACTGTAGAACTATAACAGTGAACTGTATTGTTCCAATATTTTCACCATACTCTGAATGTGCAAATAAATAAAAGTGGGTTAAGTTACGGCGAATAGAGTAGGTATATTATATATTATTATAGTAATTAAAATTGTTGTAATAGGTAGCCAACAACTCGATAAAAGTTTTATTATCATTGATGTTTGAAATGAGTACTATTTATTTTGAAACTTATATAATTAACAATTGATTTTAATTTGTTTTTACAGAAGCTGTTAAAGATATGTTTGCTGATGAGTCCATATTGCTAATAAAAACTTATATTAGTGATTGGCTAAAACAAGCCCCTAAAAGAAAATAATATTTATACCTAATTTTTATAATTTATTATATTATTTAATATTATAATAAATTTAAGTATTATAACAGTATTAATGTCTATCTTATTTAATTATTAACTAGTGGATAGTTCACTATAAATTTAAGAAACATTGCTAATAAATATTAAATATGAAATGTTTATTGTTTCTTGAAATAAACAAAACACAAAATAAAGTATTGTTAGAAATCTATAGGTAGATTATGCACAACTGCATTAATCAGTTAACATTAACAATACAAAAAGTCCAAGTATGTATGAAAAATATTCTGTTGACAGGTTTCTAAATTAATCAAATAATATTAATTTTATACTATGTAAAATATCAATTCTGCTCTAAATATACTCAAAGCTTAGGTACACAAAAAATATTCGTTCAATATACTACATTTATACAAATAATATCCAACATTCCATCATAAATTCATAACTTTACACAGAAAATATCTACTGCATACTCTAAATATATACTACAATTATACGAAAAATATACAAACTTTACACAAAAAATATCCACTGCATACTCTAAATATTTACCAACTTTACACGAAAAATATCTATTGTGTACTCTAAATATATACTATATTTATACGGAAAATATCCATTTTATTCTTCAAAAATATACAAACTTTACACCAAAAATATCCACTGCATACTCTAAATATATACTAACTTTATACGAAAAATATCTATTGTGTACTCTTAATATATACTACATTTATACGAAAAATATCCAAAAAAATGGCTTAATACTTACGCAGAATATACGTTGATTAAACATGTACAATGAACGGATACCAAACGTTGAATATTCGTTAAATAGTTACCTTTTGACCCAAAATTATACCATAATTATACTATTTATCAACTAGACATCTACGTGTATTATACGTTAGTTCGTAAATGATAAACGTATATTTAACGTATAAAATACGTAAAAATGTTTACTGGGAGTATGTAACTATTGAAGTTGTTATTTTGTTATATATTACATGTATACTTAATGTATTTATGTATGTGTACAATTGAAATATAATTTTATAGTGAATGCTTAGTTATATGTATATGAACATTTAATGTAAAAAACATGTATACAAATTACGAAAAACCTAATATAATAAGTGTTCATTAGGTACGTAGTATTTTCGTTAACTACATGAATCGCCAATGGTGCAATTTGCAACCTAAATCAACATTGTTGCGAGCCTTGGCATCTCCGCATACATAATATAATACTATAACAACGTAATATAGAATATATTAACCTTTCATAATGTTATTACGGTCTTACACTCCGTATATATAATTGACATAAATATTATAACAATGTAGTATAGAATATGTACTATCTGCCCCTATCTATGTAATAAATCACTGGACAGGTACACGACTAGAAATCATGGACACGAGTCACTATTCTAGGAATCGGCAACAACAACCGAAAACACACACACACACATACAAGCTGCACGTGCCGCTGCATCAAAAGAACCGCCATAACTTATAAGGGAGCCCGTGGGACAGCCTGGGCAGATGTATCATAGCCACGGAGACCAGAGTAACTTCTCGTCACACGCGCTCACGCTATTATACACTTGCTATATTTTCTGCTAAATAAACGTTATTCTACAATTCAATTTGGTACTTGTTTGATTTGTCTCTAAAGCTTACGGCTTTTGGAGCCTTTGAGATTACGCACACAACAACACTTATACATAGTATAATATAATGTATCATATAATTAATGATAATGCAAACATGCACTAAAAAAAGTCAAAATATGCAAAAGATGAGATATAAAATTTCAATTATTATTACATTTTATATTTGATTTAATTTAATTTTGCACTGATAATTATTTATGAGTCTTATTAATAAAATTGTCATGAACAAAAATAATATTATAATAATGTAATAATATAACACATATGTAATACAATAATGTCATTTGTTAAATAGTAATTTAATTTTTAATCATTGATACATTGTAAAAAATATGTTGTCGTTTTGTGTATATTTATACGGTCTTGTGTTAAAATATGAAAAAACATGCAGTATGATTGATATTTAATCGATCAAGTAATGATGTGTGGACACTCATTGACTGCATGTATATGATGTTGAAAAAAGCAACATGTGTTTTATGAAAAATCCGGTCTTTACACATAACTAACCAGGGATGAACAATGTGCCTATGATTAAATAACTCTTACCCACTAATAAATTAAATAATAAATATAGAAGACAGTATTGTAAGTTTGATTAAACCGTACGTTGCATTTTATTTGAAACAGAAATAACAGCAATTTAATATAAATAGGTTATCAATAAACGAGTGTGAAGTTGGGGGACCATGATAGCTAGGGGACTATTTTCTCGGACGACTAGTGATAACAGGCCTTGTGTGCACGGTTGCGTTTTATTATATTTAAGGCACTCAACAATTGTACTACCGTCAACAACGAGATGGCGCCATGAAATTCACTTACATCATTATGTGCCCGCATACAGACCAGCCCAGGGGACCATGTTATCGTACTGCCTAGGTACGGGCGGGCGCGTGGTTTTTAATTTTTTTGACCAAGTTCCGGAAGGTGACTACGCATTAAACCTATATATTCGGAAAGCCAGGAAAATTCTTAATAAGATGAAAATAAGTCTAGGAGCTACAAAGCTTTCGGGGACATAGTAATATGTGACCGAACAGCCCAGGGGACCATGTTTTCGTACTGCCTAGGTACGGGCGGGCGCGTGGTTTTTAATTTTTTTGACCAAGTTCCGGAAGGTGGCGACGCATTAAACCTAATTATTATTATAATAAGCCACCATAAATTGGTGGCTTCCAAAAATTGATTAATTGCGAATTAAAATAGGAGTAAGTACAATTATGAAATAAATACTTACTCCGTATTACCGTGAGTTGTTTAAAACGTGGTATGTTATATCTTTGAATGATTCACTTTTCGTTTGAGAGGAGTTTTTTTTTTTTGTTATTTACATGACTTTTTAATGTTTATAGTATTGTTTTAATGATTTTAAAATGTTTTATATGTATCTTGCTATTATATTATTTTAATTTTTCTCGCTACATTGAAGAAGTTCGTTTTAAAATCCTATTATAATAACTCAGAATATTCATTTATTGAGACTTTCCTCGTGTGAGCCATCTTGTGTTTTTAATTATCAGTAAATTTTCGGTTTAGAATAATAATGAAATAATCGGCAGATGGCGCCCCATGATTCGTTTCAATAGTTTACACTATAATACTATAATATTTTGTACAATAAATTGTAATTGCCTCAACAAGTCGGGGGTTCGGGGCCCTTGGCTTGTCTATTTATTATTTTATTACATTTTTGTTTTAGATCTCATAATAATTTTATTTATTTATTAATAATTGTAAATAATATTACTAATATAGTAGCTGGTAACATATTACTATGTGTCTATGTAGGTTTAATAATAATATATTAATATGGTATAAGAGTACATAAAACCAGTACAATTTCGACTTCCCAATTGACAGTATGTCAATATTATTATTTACTATTAATAAATTTGTCATTGGTTGGCTGCCTGCAAGCTGCGAGGGAGTTACCCGTTTCCGCCAAAAGTGTACCTTTACCTTTTCCCCCAATTCACTTTTCCGCCAAATTATAAATTGTTCGATTCCCTTTTCCGCCAAAACCCTGCCTTTCCCTTTTCCCCCAATTCTCTTTTCCGCCAATTCAAAAAAGTTAGTCTAGTATAATTTAAATATTTTTAATATATTATAAATTATAATTTTATTTTTATTTTATATACATTAAAAAGTTTGTACTATAATGATATATATTCCTATAACGTACCGTAATTTCAACCAAATGATAAATTTATCACTGATTATCGGGATTATTTCCCAAACGCTATCGATTGCTTGTTGTACCAGTTATATTGTTACAGTTGACAGTTGTATGATACGTACGAAACCAACCGTTATTGTACCTATAATAGTACGCAGNGCGGTGAGCGGCGAGCGTTGACGAAAATAAATCAAACACGGTAATTTTATCGGAGCTGTGCACACTGACCTTGGGCGTTGAGCGTTAGCGCTGCGCTGTGCGCGTTGCGTTGTTTATTTTTCAAGACGTCTTGAATTATGAGCGTTGTCAACTGTTTATAATCGCATAAAATTATTCATTTAAAAAGCACCATGTGTTCAAAAAATAAGTTTACAAATGAGCAACGAGAACTATTAATTTCCGAAGTTCAATCAAAACCTATTTTGTGGAATGATCGGCATCCAGATTATAAAAAAACGGATAAAACAAAGAAAATGTGGGAAGAAATTGGGAAAATAGTTGGATTTTCAGGTAAAATAATATATTAATATTACTACAGTTGCGTAATGTCAGTTTTTAATAGAAGAGTTTGCATTTTTACCGTCCAAATAGATAGGTCATATTCTTGATGGATCATATTCTTAAATTTAGATGTTTGTTTATCAAATCCATACAACGAAACCTTTTTTTACAAGATAATTTACATATATAGTTAATGGATTTTAAGATTAAATTTTTATTGTGTGTTAAAACTAAATGGGAATATGGTATACTGATATTATTGTTGTTGTTGTAAATTCAATAATTATATGTTTTTTATCCTACACACAAACACCAACTATCATGCACGTGCTCATATCGCGTTTATATGTACATAAAATAATATATTTTTCTGTATGTTTATATATGTATAACAACATAATTGTTGAGCTATTATAGTATAATACTAAAAGCTATTAATAATAAAAAAAAAATATATTCCAACTATTGATTAGTAACAGGGCTCGGGACTTGATGTATTTTGCATATTTGTTCGGAAAATACACATATTATACTTGGATATTTTGGTATTTTTTTCTGAAAACGCATATTATTAAGATGTATAGGTTTATACTGCATATTTTATCGATAATGCATAGGTATTTCGACATTTTTACGTGCATATGTAAATGCATATTTTCAAGTTTTTAAGTACATTAAGTCCCGAGCCCTGAATATTAAAAAACCAAATTATCATTGCAATTTAATATTTTGGAAAAATTAAAACTGTTTGTAGTGTAACTAACTACGGAGATCAATTTTGGTTAGGTTAATAATCTGTTTTTTTATTTCTAAACAAGTTTTCTTAAAAAATGTGTACATTATATCATGATAACATTTGTATACATATCATTATTTTCATACAGAATTACTTACTGATAAACTAATTAATTAAAGTAAAAATTATTATGTAGTGGCCAGCTTTCTAAGTTTAATGGTCCAAAAAGAAATTTGCAAATTCATTTCGAATTTCTTGCGCTCTTGTTGACCCTCTGCGTGCACCACCGTGATTTCCTGTTTCATGTAGATTATTAATTTGGTTTTCCTGAGCATTACTGTATAACATTTCTTGACAATAATCGAGATCACTATCTCCGTCTTTTTCGCGCACCACATTATGTAAAATACAAGCGCACTTAATAATGTGTACAGCTTTGTCAGAACTAACTTCAATATCTTTTCCTAGTATTCGCCATTTGGCACGCAGTATACCAAATGCACATTCAATGCATTTTCTAGCAGCAGACAAACGTTTATTATAATTTTCTCTAAAGGCATTCAAATTGCGACTTGGAAATGGTCTCATGAGAAACGTTTTTAAAGGATATGCTTCATCTCCAATGAACACGTGAGGTAATTTAATCGTAGTTCCGGGTAATTCCTTATCGGGTGGTAAAAAGGTATTGGATTGTATATGTTGAAAAAGTGTCGATGCTGCGAACGTCCCTCCATCACTCTGCTTACCTCTAGAACCAACTTCGATAAATATAAATTTTTTATCCGCATCTGCTACACCTTGAAGAACTAATGAAAAATACTTCAAATAATTGAAATAGCTTGAACCACTATTTATGGGACATTTGATTTGACAATGCTTGCCATCTATACATCCTATACAGTTAGGAAATTTCCATCGTCTGTAGAAATCATCTGAAATTTTTACTAACTGGTCTTGATTCGGAACAGGCATAAAGTCTTCAACTAATTCTTCCCAGATTATTTTACAAGTCTCGTGTACAATTTTACCTACTGTCGAAGCTCCCATTCTTAGTGTAACTGCCAAATTTCGAAAAGAAAGGCCAGTAGATAAATATCTAATAAACAAATAGGTAATTGCATTAAATTAAATTAAATAAAAAATGTTCATCTCCAGTTGTTTAAAAATAAACAAAATATTCTATGTTTATTTATTAATTTTACAATTTGAAAAAAATGAGCATTGGAAGTAAAAACATTTGTACAAAACTCGTCAAAATATCCGTATTTATAATAGAAAATTAATTACAATTTATAATACATTTTAATAGCAAACAAATTTTAAACTGTTCAATGACTGTCTTTTCACCCTATATTAAAATAGATTTAATTTTGTTCTTCTTAAATGTATTCAACGTGAAAGTTTATTGAAAAATGTATGAACTGAGTCATTGAATTAAATAATATACAATTAATTTAAATAGTTATTTTAAATAGGTGCAATTGTAAAAGCAAAGTGGAAGAATCTTAAAGACAAATTTAGAGTAGAGCTTCAAAAAATTCCTGTTGTAAGGTCTGGGGCAGAAGGCAGAAGTTACAAGCCAATATGGCCATATTTCGAATTAATGTTATTTGTGAAAGACACGCTAATTCCAAGTGTAACAAGTGGAAATCTTCCTACTACTATGACTTCTGAGACTCGTTCAGAAATAAATGACTCAGAAGATGAGTCTATCGAAATTGGAAATTACGAAGAAAATAGTACTGACGGGCTTCTTCCAGAAACACCTGGCTCTTTTTCTTCAAATGAATTTTCAACACCCGCTCTGAAAAAAAAGTGTAAGAAACGACGTGTTGAAGACATGGACTATGATCCTTTTTTGCAAATAGAGCAACAAAAACTAGATCTCATTAGGGAAGAGCAAAAAAGGGACTCAACTATGACGAATAATCCCGATTACCACTTTTTAATGAGTCTGTTGCCTTATTTTGACAAATTAAATGCTTTGGAAAAATTACAACTAAGAACAAATATTCAAAATGTAGTTTTCCAAACATTACAACATAAAGAAATCGAAAAAGAAAGGGCAATGATGTACATTCCACCACAAACGATTTCGTCTCAAGAAAGTTCTCAGAAAGAAACTTACCACCAGTTTCCACAAAACACAGGGCAAGATTTAAGTACTCCAAATATTTATACTCCAAATATTTATACTCAAAATATTTACAAATAATTTAATAAAGTTAAAATAATCAATTTGTATTATTTATTTTTAAGGCGTATGCTTAAGTTATAATAGTACGTTTTTTCAAGTACCAAAGGAATTGTGGAATTTATTTTTATTTAATTTTTTACCTCAGTTATTTTAATTTCCTTTGTTTTAATTTCTATTTCCATTGAGAAAAAGCTATTGTAAAACTATATTGTTATCAATGTAATAAAACATTCATTCGTAATAAATTATGAGTTATGACTTACCTAAGTGTCACATAAAGTCTTTCGGTTGCAGAAATTGGTTTTTTAAAATTTGTCGTTTTTTTGGTTAATTTAAATTTTACTTTGGCCAAAATAAAGTCAAAAGTCTCTCTTGACATACGTAGAAAATTAAAAAACCTTTCACTATCTCTTCTTAATTCATTATAAATATGATGAAACTCGCCAAATTCATTACGTTTTTTGTTCATTTCATGAACTCCAATCCTTCTATGTTTTTTACTTCGAAAGCGATTTCGTAAAAATGTATTGTCGGTAAGTAAAATACGTCGAATTTTTGAGCACAGTACCATGGTGATGACTGCAGGTGACTAAAATATTATAGACAACGCTGATCGCGTGCTGTTTAGTGTACACACTTCATCGCTCACCGCTCA